TACCAGTATGGTGAATAAGGTAGGCGAAATTACGGCTCCCTGGGGAATGCCGTTCTCTTGTGGTAGGGGTTCTGACTCTTTGCTTCCTATTCGCACTACGAAAGTCCTGTCCGTGAGGAAGCTTTTGATGTAATTGAATGTTCTTCCATAAATGCCGAGCCTCTTGGTTTTGACTAGTGCTCCTTCCCGCCAGCACTGATCATACGCCTGGGCCAGGTCCAGGAAGACGGCCATTGTTCTGTGGCATTTCTTGAAACCATTTTTCACATCGTCTTCTAGCTTGATTATTTGGTCCATTGTGCATCTGTTGGCCCTAAAACCCGATTGCGTGGGGCTGTAATGGTTGTTGCTTTCAAGATAGAAGACGAGGCGTTTGTTTATGACCGTCTCCAGAACCTTGCCCAGGTGGGAGGTGAGGGCGATTGGCCGATAGGAATCGGTCCTTTGCGGGTCTTTGTTTGGTTTTATTATCGGGATGATATAGGCCGTTTTCCACTGTTTGGGTATTTGCCCACACCTCCAAATGTCATTGTACAGTTCAGTTATTACTGTGGTGATGTTTAGCGGTAGCATTTTTAGTATTGCATAGTTGAGTATGTCAGCTCCCGCTGCCGTATTTGATTTTTCATTCATTGCTGTAACTACTTCATCGATGGTAATATCCGCATTCATGTTTTCAGCACCCTCTGTTTCGTGGACTGTGGTTCTGTCGTCTAGTGGTTGTTGTCTCCTTACTAGTTCCGGCTGTCCTAGTCTTGCGTTGGAGCTTACTTCAAAGAAATGTCGACCGAATAGGTTCGCTTTGTCCTTGTCGGTTACGGCTAGTTCAGGGAATTTAATTGTCGGGATTCTTATGCTTTTTTTCCCCCCTCTGATTGCTTTAATTTGGTTCCACACTTTCGTCGGTGCAGTGCTGGGGTTTAATTTTTGGCAAAAGAGTCTCCAACTTCGTTCCTTGGCCTTTGTCACTGCCCTATTTACGGCATTTCTTTTGTTTTTGTAGTCTCTTTCGTTCTCTTCCGACCTGTACCGCCGGTAATTTCTCAGGGCCGTTTGTCTCTGTTTCACCGCCGTTTCGCATTGCTCGTCCCACCAGCTGGTTGTGTTTGTTTTGCGCACGTTGTGGGCGGCGTTACTGCTTTGTTTCGCGCTGGTGAGGTGGGCGGGCATATTTTTGTTAGGTATGTGCTTGACTGCTACCCCCAGGATAATGCTCGTAATCAATTCTGTGCGGCACTCCAAGTCCTCTATTCTTATGTTGGCCAGCTCCATGGCGCTGAGTTCTTTTTGGAATGCTGCCCAGTTGGCCTTTGATGTGTTGAAGGAGGGGCGCTTGCTCACTTCGTTCACTTGTGGCCTTGAGTCCGTGTTAATCCAGAGCGGTAGGTGGTCGCTGCTTGTGTCAGTCATTGGTGACCAGTGGCAGCCTGCGAGTCCAGGTGTGGCGATCGATATGTCGACTGCAGAGTCCCGCTGTCTGTGGTTGGGGTTGATTCTTGTCATGGACCCGTCGTTCAGGATTGTGAGTGCGTTATCTTCGACGAAGTCCATGAGAATCTTCCCCCCGCGGTCCGTCACCTCGCCGCTCCACGTATAGTGGTGTACATTTAGGTCACCGACTATTAGAGTATGTTCTCCCATCATGGTCTTTATCTCGTCTGTGTCTGCTTTTTCGAGCTTGCCTGTCGGGCAGTACAGATTTATAATTGTCAGGTCTCGGCGAAGTCCGGCGATCGTGATCAGCTGCCCTTCGCAGTTTTTGGTATTGAATGTTGTTTGGTGGGTGACTACGAGTTGATTGCTGATGAGGAATGCCACTCCCCCTCCGGCTTTTTGTGTGCCTCTGTCGTTTCTGTACACCGCGAAACCTGGGCATGAGTAATTATCAGTGGGTTTGAGACGTGTCTCTTGCAAGGCATAGATATTTGCCTTCCCTTCGGTTTGTTTGAAAATGTCCGGGAAGTTTTTTCTTATGCCGTTGCAGTTCCACTGGAGCACTGTAATTTTGTCTCGATCCATTTTTGCGTTGGGGTTGGTACTGTTAATTTTGGTTCGGAGATGATTGGTGTCAGCCATTGTTGGTTTACAAGTGAGTTACCGAGTTTTGTTCCTCTATTGAACGGTCATTCTGCGCATTTTCCGATTGGCTGTCGCTATCTGTCGTAGAGTTGTCCTCCTCGCTGGTTTCTGTATCTTCCTCATCCGTGGTGTCTTTGTTGGGGGTTAGTTGGCGCTTTTTCTTTTGAAATACTTCACTAGCCATCTCCATGCACTCGGCTGTGTGTCTTTTCATCGCTTTTGTTATTGCTTTATCAATGTAGTCGTTGGTCTTCTGCCACTTTTCGCCTTCCCATATTTGGTCGGTGTATGCTTTTGGTTGATTGCTGAGGTTAATGGTTTTTAGTTCGTCTCTGACTTGCCTGTGCAATAGGTTTACCGTATCTATCTTTTCTGCGTTATGGGAGTTACTTTCTCTAATTGATTGTATTTGCAGGGTGAGTTCTTGTATTTGCTGAGCCCTCTCTTCTGCTAATCTCGCCGCTTTCACTCTCTCTGTTCTTTCCGTATTGAGTTCGTTTTGAAGTTGTTCTATACTTTTGAGGATATCCATGGTGGCATCGTAGTTGATCGGTGGATTCTCTGCGGCGGGTTTATTGGTAGTTTTATGGTTGTCTGGGCCTGTCGCCCTGGCTGCTAATTCGGCCTGAATGATTCTTATGTCGGATTGTGTTTCAGGTAGGTTTCGGGCTTTGCTTTGGTTCCACAACGCTACTTTGTACGGTATGTCGCTTAGCTTTGCTTCTCTCAGTGCTAGCTGAGCTTCTTTTAGTTTTGGGCAGCCTTTGTATCTGGCACTATGACATCCACCGCAATTGGCGCATCTTCTGTCCGGATTGTGTCCCTTGTGATTTGTGGTCTCTTTGGCCTTCGGGCATTCAGTAATCCAGTGATTCCTGCTGCAAAATCTGCACCGTGGATCTCTCCTGCACTTGTCGTGGGCGTGGCCGAACCCCTGACATTTCCGGCATTGGAGTAGGGCGGGTATGCATATTTCCCAGAACTTCATTTTTCCTTCAAGAAATATTTTTGCGGGTTTTTTCGTCCCTTTTAAAGTCACTTTTAGTAGGGCGGTCGGTTCGCCGGATGCTTTGCTTATTCTTTCAACATTCATAATTACCAGGTCTTTGTTTTCCTCTCTCAGTTTGTCGGCCATGAGGATCGGGTCTTTCTTGGGTTGTACGCCCTTGACTACTATTTTAAGTGAATCTGTCTTTGGCTCAACGGTGGCTTCGATTTGGTGGGCTAGTGACAGTTTTATTGGTTCTGTAGCTGTCTTGATTTTGTGGAATAGTTTGTGGTTATTTATTGTCACTTTCATATCCACAATGATGTGGTCTTTCCGCACATCAATTCTTGCTATGGATTTTGTCCCTAGCCCTGTTTCCAGGAGTTGGGTTTTTTCTTTGTCGGTGCCGCTAAATAGTGACAGTTGGCCTGGTTTTGTCTGCCTGATCTTTACTTTTAGAATTGCCCTTTCTGGTTTTTCTGTCTCTATCCCCTCCGGGATGCCAGGCAGTCTGGTTTTTTGGTTTACCGTGGCTGTTATTCCTGGCACTGACTGCTGTTTGCCCTCAGCTACTGTCACTGATTGTTGTTTTCCCTCAGCTGCTTTTTGTGCGTAGGTCTGGGTATGTATGGGCGACGTGGTTTTGTTAGCTTCCTCGGTCCTAGGTGTTGTTTTATTTACTACGGACGCCTTGTCCTGACCTAGGTCGGCTGGTTTCTGGGTTTTGGCGACTTTATTGTCTTTTTTAATTATCGCTTCGAGCGCTTTGGTTGTTTTATCTGTTCGTGACCGGTTTTTGTCGGTGTTCACAGAGGCGCTCTCTTTCGGAATACTGCCGCTCCTCGTTATGATCCTGGTCTGGCGGCCTGGTTCCTGGGATCTTGCTCTGGTGATTATCGACGAGGTCTGTTGATCGTGTCCTAACATTTTTAGGTTTAGTGGCTAGGCCCTAGTCTCACTGAGTTGAGTTTAAATGTAGATTATACTCACAATCTGCTGATTTCCGGGTAGCTGCGTCGTCTTGATCGGTTTGTTGCTAAGTAACAAGCCTGGTTAGGAGGACCACTTTAAAAGTAGACCTCCCAGGGTGTTCAGAGCAGTACACAAGGCTTAGTGCTGGGACAATCGGACAATCGGACTTTTTAGTCAGCGTGTCGGCTCAAGAATTGGTACCACTACAGCTTTCAGCCCTGGCAGATCAAGCCGAGCGAAGCAGCGATCAACACCAGTGACTGAGGAAACCTGTGACCCTCCTCTCAAGCGACAGCTAAGCTAAAACTGAGGCACGTATCAGTAGCTGGTAGTTTATAGTGAGGCTACTAACTCTCACTTCGTGTCTGGTAGCAGGTAGTTTTAAGTGAGGCTACTACCTCTCACTGTTTTTCTGGCTGAGACGACTGACTTTTAGTCAGCGTGTCGCATTGAGATTTGAAAACACTACAGCTTTCAGACCCAGCAGATCAAGCCGAGCAAAGCAGCGATCATGCTAATCTCTGAGGGAGCCTGTGTTTCTCCTCTCAAGCGAACGCTGAACTAAAACCGGGCAACGTATCGGTAGCGGGTAGATTATAGTGAGGCTACTAACTCTCACTTTTCAAAGCCGACGTGACAACAAGTTATCGACGATCGGGCAGTGAATCGGGCTTAGCGGACGAGACGTGGCGGGCGACTTGCTTGATCGGAGATCAGAGCGCGAGTGCTGGGAATGAGACTGACGACCGCGCCAGTGGCTCTTAGAATTCGGAGATTAAATAAGGTTGTATTTGTGTAGGTCTCCGCGAGTGGAAACCATATTTAGTAGACAGTTCGACATGAAAAACTAAGGAACAGTTAAAATGTTTATTTAGTTTTGCTTGCGATTTAAGTTGATATTAATTTCTAAGTGTTAGGCGTTTGCTTCTTTTTTTTTTTTGAAGCAACGATATAAAGCACAATGGTCTTTTTACATTTTCCTTCTGCACTGACAGAAGAGGAGGAAATTCTCAAACAGACCATGGCGAAGCTGAAGAAAAAGGTAACTTAATATTAATTAATTAATTGTTATTGTTATTAAATTTAGTATTATTCATAACAATTAACATTATCAAATGATATATAATATTATTATTATCATGAATGCGATTTTATATACACACATATATATTATAAAATATATAATATTAATATAATATTATTAAATATTATTATTAAAATACTTTAAAATAAATTAGTTTACCTGTACTGACTGATCTGTTCATTAAATCATTAAATTTAGCGTGATTTTACTTTCTATACTTTCTGAAAGTTATGTGTTATTCTTTCTGTTTGAACTGTAGAATTTAATAGATCTCTGCCTGGAAACCCCTGTATTTACGCAGCACACAGACAGTTACTTTTTTGCTGTTTATAGTATACTTCAGTTCAATTCGACACTGCAAGACTAAGATACAAGAGGCATAAGATAACAATATTATGAGTGTGTGTTCAGTCATGAATATAGTAGTGTACATTGGGAGTTTTAGTTTTACCAGTGTGTGTTCTATCCCAAGTTAGATCTTTTTCTCCTCTCTTGGTTTACTTCAATTTTTTTTTTAATTCTCTGATCAACAGTATGCATTAATTTGAACCCATCCGTACTCTTTGGTAAATGTTAAAATATTGTTAGTTTGCTATTTATTTTTGAATTTTTATGAAACATTTTTATTTTTACATCTTTAAAAAAAAAATCATGCTAAATTCTGATGTTAGCACATTTACTTGAAAATCCTCTCTGTCTTCTGAACAAATCCAGAAAAAGCTAGTTCAGTCTCTGAAAGCTGCTGGTGGTAATCAGGAGAAGGAAGCTGTTCATAACAAGTCTGCCAATAAGCCAGGTAAGTTCATGTGGATGCGATCTCATGCCTCTCCTGGGTGGGTTCCATGACAGTGAACTACGCTTGAAAGGATGCAGTATCCCAGCCTTCACCTGATAACCACACCAAATGGAAAAAAAGGCTGTATCAATGTTCCAGAGAACTCCTTTTTCTTCTTCCTCTTCTTCTTTGCGTTCACCAGCTGAAAACTCTGTTGAAAAGTTCTTGTTTTTCATCCACTTCTGGACTGCAGTCCTGTTCCAGAACCAGAGTGTTGTGTGTGCATCTGTTTTACAGATCTGATTCATTTGTATGCAGACTGCTGGTTTCTTGCCTCTCAGACAGTGCCACATACCAGTTGTGTCGCATGTCTTTTCTTCAGGGTTTCTCCTGTAGTATACAAAGGCACTCTGAGATAGGGATCATATTTTATGGTGGCTCTCGTTGGTCTAGGCAGAAATCCCGCAGCTCCTAACAAACATCCAGTCTATCTCAAGGGTGGGGCAACTCAATTTATGGCTATACAGAATTATTCAGAACTCCAATGCACAACTTAGTCTGACACTCCCCACTGCTTATTCGCCCCCAGACTGAATTACCTACTCGATAACAACGATCTGACAATTTATCTGACAACCACAATCCCTCTTAATTACCAGAACTGGACAAGATATGACACTAACCATATGGATTAAGAATAAAGAACATTTTGTAATTGATGCAATCAGGATTTGAAGAAAGAGAAAGGTTAAAAGAGAAGACAAATAGTCCTTGCTGATTCAGAAATAGAATGGACTCTATAGGACTCCTGAGGATGCCCCCCACCCCCTCCTGGTTCATCATTGCAAATGGGTCATAGAGGCGTAATGTGGCACTCAGTGGTTTGATGGGCTGCCGTGTGGTATCCCTAACTGTACTTTTCTGGAAGCACTGAGATCCTTCACACTGGCAACACAGTCTTATCTGGATCAGGTCCAAATTAATTCTAAGTTGACAAGAAAGAACAAGCAGGTTTTACTTCCACAAGGACTTCCTGAGCAGGTGAACCATTCTCTGGTCTTCACCATTTAAACATCATGTAGGGCACTGAGACGTATGATGCTGGAAGATCACTTGTAGTGGTAGTGGTGCATTTCACTCGGACTGTGACTCTGACTGTGACTGGTTTCAGCTGGAACTTAATGCATTCCTGAAAATAACAAGGAACCTCGCATTAGCATTCCACTAACCCAGGTACCTTATTACATATTTCTCCTTCCTCATTTTTCTTGCTCAGAGGTAAATGGTGGGCAAGTACAGACCATCTAGGTCTTACTTCCACCATGAATACTGTTTCCTTGATTTTGTTGTTGGTGTCAATAGTTATTGTGGCTTAAAGGTTGTAAACACAACTTCAAAGTCACTTGCATGTAGTTTGGTAGCAGATTACTTTGCGTTGATTTTGACAGTGTTTTGATTGTTTTACTCTTAAGAAAGCAGTGGCAAACTTTTAAGAAACAAATTATGTAGTATAAAAACACCATACAGCAGCCTGTAAGTGCTATTTTGGGCTTGCATATCTCTATAAATGATATGCACTTAGCTTTAATTACAAAGAGATTGTGGAAGACATAGTCGCTGATATGTGCCTCTTTAATTATTTAGCTCCAGCTCCATCTATGGATTCTGCAGACAAGGCCACAGAGCAAGCCAAGAAACTTGTTCAGTCTGGGGTATGTAATTGTGACAGAGTGATTTTTGTGTAAAGACAGCATTATCACTTTAGCAAGATTCTTGACAGGTTCTAGACATTCTAAATCTATAGAAGTCTCAGGTTTGAGCGATGCAAATAAGTTGAGGATTTAGACCAGTGTTTTCCAGACTTTGTTAGCCCATCACTCCCCTTTTCAGTTAAAAAAAAAAATCACTGAGTGCTCCCTGTTTCCCTGGAAATATAGTCATCATCATGTGGCATGCCTGTAAGCATAGGTGCTGAAGACTGGCCATCGTACAGGGTCAGTAGTAACACAGGTCAGGCCACTGCACTTGTCTGACCTCCATGCTTGTAGTGATTCCATTGAGGTGTTTATCTCTTTGCAGTGTAAAACAGGCCCAATTCTGAGCCCTTTGAAGGTGTCCTAATGGAGCTGTGATGCACAGTACAAAACTCGTAATGTCTGTAGTCTCTCTTGCTCAAGCCTACCTCACCTTTACATGGTGGACCCTGTTCTTCCTAGCAGTCCAGTGGAAGGTTGGGGTCTCAACCCCCAGCAGAAAACAGGGTGGGACATCTGACGAGGTAAAGGCGAAGGGATGAGCTCACTCTCAAGAGACGCTAAAGTCGGAAACACTGAGCCAGAAGGCGGATCAAAAACCACAGTAGAACACAACTCTTGGCTATATTATATGTGATCAGGAACTCCTAAAAAGAGTCAAGTTTATCACAAGAACTTGTCTGTCTGCGTAAATCAGAAAGCAAACACCATAAATGTTGCCATTTGTCCCCAAATTTCCCAGTTTATTCTTTTCCATGAAATATACTTTCTGTAGTCGAACAGATAGAAAGATTCAAGGACAGATCTGCCTTTTTTTCCCCATGTCCCTTTTTGTTCCTACTTCTTGAAACCTAATGACAACTGTGGAGAGAACAAAGAAGTTCTCAACTCAGTCGCACATTTTCCACCTGAGTCCAGATTCATCAGACAAGAACGGTTTGTTTCATTTTGTGCATCGCCCATGGCTAGTCTAATCTTTATTTTTGTGCTAGGCCACGCAGAGTTTTAGCTGATGAGCACGCTGATTATCTATCGGATTGTGCAGCTATTTTGACTGCTATTTCACTGGTTAGGAGTGATGTCATTAATGCCATCCAATATGTATATCACAAAGACGATTGCAGTGACTTCGTAACCCTGTCTAGGTTGGTAGGTGTAGGGGTGCAATCTGGAGCTGCCAGATATGAAAAGTACTCTAAGGGCAAAAGACATTTGGTTTCGTTCAACGCACAACGGGTACGATCAGTCATTTTTATGCACGTGTTTGAATTTTGATGTATTAATGAATCTGTCAGGAGGGATGTGATAAACAGTCCTTACTAATCTCTAATCACAACATAGTTGAAAATAGCAAAAAATAGTTTGTAAATACGATGCCTTTAATTTTCAGACTGTTCATACTTTGTTAGTAAGTTGTAACAAATTCAGATTCTTCATTGTAAAGTCCATGCCGTGTGGCGTTGGTAGTCATGTCTATCCAAAACCTTCTGTCTTGTGTACTTTCTGTCAACTCTGACACAGATGATCCTCCATGCCATGATGTCAGACTGTCCAGCATCTTTTCTCGCGGTCTACGTCTGCCTCTCCTCCCCTCGACTTTCCTACTGTCACGATGCACTCTAGTTTTTTTCTTCTATCCCATGACCAATTGATGTAGATTGTCTCTTTCTGATGTGGGAAATCAGTTCAGTATTCAGATTACACACATCCCTTTGTGATTTCCAAGAATAGACCCACTTACTACCCAAAAGCATGTTGTAAGAGTCAACTAATTGGGAGCTTTCTTTTTCGTCGGAGTGCATCTGCCTGAGAAGCAAGGAACCAGAAGTCTGCATACAAATGTGTCAGATCTGTAAAACCGATGCACACGCAACACTCAAGTTCTGGAACAGAACTGTAGTGCAGAAGTGGATGAACAACCAGAACTTTCTGCCAGAGATTACAGCTGGTGAACACGAAGAAGTAGAAGAGGACACAACGAAAATTTATATAATGAGGGAAAATACTGAAGTTACTTTTTCAGTGATCAGCATTTGCCGTGTGTCTATTATTGACTGGGTAGTAGACAGGGCTGGGTGCTTGACCTCTTCACCTGCGATCCATCTTGCAAGGTTCCTGCTGTGCCCCATATTTCTTCTCTCTGGCTGGAACAGTCTTTGAAGTTTTGCTTTGGTGCAAAATAACCACATGTCTCGGAGTCAGTGAGTCCCATTGGGTAGATGAGTACTCTGGCTTTTACTGTGTCTTTTTCAGTTTCTGAAAATTTGAGCATGCCAAGTCCTGTTTATACATTCATGCTGTCTTTCCTCTGGTTTTCCTTCATTGTCTTTTGGCACTGTAAATGTCTCAGACGCGTGGGGCTGCATGAGATTGTATTTCTTCCTTTTGCACCCTGCTGCCTTTTTGTTATTCAGTGTCCCTACCTGCACTTGAGGCTCCTGTCCATCTCATGGTCAATTCACACGCCGCCCCTACCACCCCCTCCCCTTTTCCCCATCCCAATGGCCCTCTCCACCAGGGGGCAGTAGCAGCCACTTGTGGGTAAGACTGGTTTAGACCAGTAGCAGACCTCAGCACAGGGTATGCTAACCCAGAAGAAGAAGAGTCTCCAGTTGAAAGACATCAAACAAGTCATTGCTACATAAATATGTAATAGACTAATGGCTCAATGAATAAATCCACTAAGATTGTAATAATTTTTTTTTTAACTCTTTCAGTACCAAACAGTGTAGTATGTGTTTTGGTTGTTCCAAATATAATTATGTTCTTGTTATCTTCTTTCACAGTCATGTGTTATATTAACCCTTTGAAACTGACATATTAGTTTAACTACTTCTATCTCATTGAACAGCCTTAAAAGTCTATGGTTAAGCACCAGCAAGGAGATCAAAATTATAATTTTGAGAGCATGCATCTTCCGTATGGCTGCATACGGATGTGAGTCCTGGACTATCAGTCCTTAAGAAAGAGAATAGGGGCTTTTGAGCTGAAATGCTATAGAAAGATTCTCAGAATGTCTTGGACAAAGAAGATGAGAAATATTGACATCTTGAAAGATCTGAACATCAAGGAAGATTTGCTAATAAACAGCATCCTTTCTCGAAGGCTGAAATATTTTGGTCATATCAAGCACCATGACGGCTTGGAAAAAATTATAGCAGAAGGCATGGTACCAGGAAGGAGGGGCAGGGGCTGACCGACACGAAGATGGGTACAGGATATAAGTGACTCCTTGAGTGTGAAAGTTCATGAGGCGGGAGAACTGGCAAGAGACCGAGTTTCTTACAGGCAGACTGGGAAGAGAGCGACGTTCTGCAAAGGACCTGCTACATGATGATGACTTCTATCTCAGGATGGCTGTGCCTAACTCCTTCAGACCTATGTATTGCTTTAAAGAAGAAACTTACTAGGATTGCTTGAGTTAAGAAACAACTGTTTTGGACTGAAACAGTTAACAATTAGTAATGTCTGTACACAGGCCTGAACAAGAGCATGTTTTACTTTGAAAATAAAAATACATCCGGTAGTGACTAAAAGTAAGGCCTTAATCACTGACATGATAAGATTATGACAAATTCATCACTGAAAATTCTTGCATTCTCACGCTTCTGTCTGGCTCTGACATAGCCACAGCTCTCGTGTAAATACCATTATATTTATTTAATTACAGGCCATCAAAGTGACAGGTCAGAAGGAGAAATCTGGGTTTAAACGGTCTAAAACATTTGAGAAGAAAAAAGTAAGTTTCTGTTTGTGTTGATACACTGAGCTTTCCTAATTGTCATTGCTCTTTTTGTTGTCTGTTCTGCATGACATTGTCAGTCTTTTCTAACAGAAATGTTTTTCCAGGCCATTATGCCAGCTTAACATCTCTCTTAGTCTCCTTCTGCCTCTCTTCCCGATGAAAGTATATATTTTTTTTTTACTTATACTCTTGCAACAACTCCTGACTGACTGACTGACTCTCTACCCCACCAGGACATCACACAAGTGATAAACACCCGATGACATAATGTGCCTTCATGTGGGTGAGGGTCACCGTGGAGAGGTCCCAGAAACTGTGTTCAGCCTTTAGGCCACATTAATGGCCAGTCTGTATTGCGGCCCCTAGGAAGAGCCAGGGTAGGGCTTCAAATAACGACAAATTTCATCCTAAAAAGGACGAGAAACATTAATACAAGAACAACTCCTGAACTCTAGCTCGTAGAAAGACAAGTATTTTTGTTTTATTGTGTGTATGGCAGTTTTTGTATATGTAGTTTGTATCAGTGTCCTTTTGTATATGTAGTTTGTATCAATATCCTTTTGTTTCCTTATGATGATAAAGGCTGTCTAGCTCAAACATTCATTCTACCATTGATGATTGTGTGCAAACCAATTCTTGTTTGCATTTCTATTGATTTACTCATTGACATACTGAGAACACAAAATTCCATTATCTTTGTGAAGTAAAAATCTTTAATGTTATGATATGATCAAGGAGAGCCACTCATTGAACCAGTGGAGACCAAACGAGAAACGATACTATCAGACAGGTTGCAGGAATGAAACCTTATGCCAGATGTATACAGAGACAGAAGATGGAATAGTCTGGGATTGAAAATGTGGCTGGCTGTATGTGCTACAAACGTGTAAACATCAAGTCTAGCTCATCACAAATAGAAAAAGCTGTTCCTGTTTGGCTTCTGGGACCCCAATAGAAATAGACCCACTGAGCACCACTCCCCCCTCCCTCTAAAAAAAAGCATGTCATAAAAGTCATCTTATTATGCATGTTTCCTTCAAATTAAAGGTGCATCTGCCTGATAGGCTAGAAACCAACAGTCTGCATACAAATAAGCCAGATCTGTGCAATGGATGTCCATGCAAAACTCAAGTTCTGGAACAAGGCTGAAGTCCAGAAGTAGACAAACAATCAGAAATTTCAGTGGGAATTTATAGCCAATGAAAAAGAAAAAGGAGAAGCTGATCAGACAGTCAGCTATAACTTGATGAGCCCGTGAATAACGTGACCCAGTGAATGATGTGACCCATTGAATGATGTGACCTAGTGAATGATGTGACCCAGTGAATGATGTGATCCCAGTGAATGACCTTACCCAGTGAATGAGGTGACCCTGTGAATGGCGTGACTCAGTGAATGGCGTGACCCAGTGAATGGCGTGACCCAGTGAATGGCATGACCCAGTGAATGACACACATTGTTGTTACCCATCTTTTTAACTATATCTGGTAACAACGAATTTGTTTTAGGACATTGAGAAACCTGCAGCTCCTGTGAGATTTCAGCCCTTTATGGCTTTCAATTATGATGGACCGGATGACAAGCAGCCGGTATGTTGGGTCGACTTGTATTTGATTGATTGCATGGGGGAGGGGTATCTTAGTGCGAGATGTAAGGAATACTTTCGGTATAAGAATTTTGTAATATTGACATTACACTTATGCAATTTTAAGATGAAATTTTTCTAATTGTTGCATGTTACTTTTTAAGTTTTCACTTAAACCTCCGTCATTTTTACATGACTTGTAATTTTTACATATAGTAGAGCAAAGGACCCTTTTCCACTCCTTTAGGCATATAGGGCTAGACCTATATTTTTTAAACCAATCTGCACAAGATGGGTGATGTGGTCAGCATACTGCTGGTCGCCTTTACTTAACCCAGGTCTGCACCCGGTACCCACTCAAGGGGGTGTGGGGGGTCGACCTAGGAGTCAAGGTCATTTTTTTTTTTAAAAAGTCCGGCTCCACCAGGGAGCAAACCCATGACCTTCCAATCCGCTGCGAGTGTCTAGCCGCTCTGCCACAGCGACTCCCAGTTTTTACATATAGATTTGATAATTTTTTTTTTTACATATAGCTTTTGTAATTTGTGACTGCTTCTCTGATTTACTCTGAATGGTGAGTTTTTTTGATACAATTTACTGGGGTTTTTTTGGGTTGGGGGGGGGGGGGGGGGGTTGGTGGGAGGTCATCTTTTAGTTCCATTCATCTTTGATTATGGTGTTGCCTCACTGGGCCAGCATCTTCTTGATTGGCTGTATAAGGGACAGTCTTACAGGGCATGTTCTGCAGTTTGCATAGACAGCTAACTTGGTCACACTGGTGAACTGCTTATGCTTAAGTACACCCTCTCCTGGGGTGTAGATTTGGCAGTCAGGTGAGTGGAAGTCAGCTCTTGCCCAATTCAACTCACTTCTGATAGACCTGATGGCTTTTGTGTCTCAGAGTATGTGATTGCACTTTCTTCCTGTTCACATTCTTCCCCTTTCTTAGCACATCTATATCCGTGGGTTCTTTACCTGGTATACTGTTGTGGGATGGCACCCACTGGGATTCAGTACACTTTTGGCCAACAGTCTTTCTAAGTGAAGCTCTTAAGTCAGAGATTGTTTCCCTTTCTGGAGGGCTTGTAGCACCATAGTGCATCTATGAAGATGACTTCACTCTTGATGTTAGTCAGAACTGATGCTGTGTAACATTTCAGCAGCCTGCTGTAGTACTAGGGTCACTGCTGTGTAGTTGGAACAGAGTTTACCGATGGGTATATACTTTGTGTGGCGGTGCTTGTCTGGGTATTTGATAATGATTCCAGCATCTCTAATCTGAACTGCATTGGTTGCTGATCTGTCTGTTTAAGCATGTACCCACATGTTAAAATGTTACATAGAACCTGTTCTGCTGTATGGCAGCAAATCGTGGAACGTCAGTGAACAAATTTGGAAGCAACAGAGTTGTGGTTTCTGAGACAAATATTACGAATACCTTGGACGGTCAGAGTAACTAACGATTGCCTGAAAGAAGCTAATGAAAGTAGATCTCTCCCCATGTGGGTTCTAGGGCCCTATTATAGGGAAAACAAGAATAGACCCACTGCCTACCCAAAAGCATGTTGTAAGAGTCGACTAATTGGGAGCTTCCTACATCTGCCTGAGAGGCAAGGAACCAGCAGTCTGCATACAAATGAGTCAGATCTGTAAAATGGTTACACACGTAACTCTCAGATTCTGGAACAGGACTGCAGTCGAGATGTGGATAAACAACCAGACCTTTCCGCCGGAGTTTACAGCTGGTGAACGCGAAGAAGAAGAAGAAAGTAGATCTCTATATACAACAATAAGAAAGAGACAAACACTGTTCTTTGGGCACCTAATAAGAAGGGAGACATTGGAGAACATCGTGACAACTGGAAAGATCAGTGGAAAAGGGGGTAGAAGCAGACCAAGAGAGAAGATGCTGGATGGGCTGAAATGATGGCATGGAGGGATATCATCAAGAGAGTTGTTTCAGTGATCTGTGGAGACGCATGAGAGCCTATGCTAGTTGGCAGGGCACATGATGGTGATGGTGTATCCACATGTTAGGGATAGTTTTCCTGGATCATACTGAGGGCAGCTGATCATGTTTGAATGTTATTGGATTGATGTCCAGCTGTGAGACCTTTGTGTATATGCCGGCTTGTTCCCAGGGTACATGTTATAGGATGGGTTTTAGCGGTGTTGTTCTTATAGGCAGGTAGGTCTGCCTGAAATTGTTTGAAGTCTTTTTTCCTGAGAAACAAATGGCAGTATTTGAGATGTCCCAGTGCCACATCATCTAGTCTTGCTTTCATTGGATGTGACGGCATACTATTGAACTTGTCCATCTGGATCGTAGTTATAATGTCTCTTCTATAGGACATTGTCTACATTGCAGTTTTTGTGTGTGTGTGTGCACCTTTAGGATTGTTGTAGTTCTTATGGATCTTGTGATGAGTCTAAGGTCTTGATTTTGCATTGTCTAACGACCAAATGGGAATTAGCAGCTGATGACTAACTTTGCACCAAACTCTAAACTAGTTTGTATTGCTTCATTATAAAATGTTCATTAGAGGTGTTCCATTTGCTCCTAGCTTGTACCTGCCAGTTGTTTGTGCATCCGTAGTCTTCTCCTGGCCTTCCCTTCTGCATTTTCTATGTTTGTTTCACACAGGCCTTTTATAAAATATCAACCCTTGATAAGTAGGGAAGATTTCTTCCTTTGGCAAGCTTCCTGGGTAAATAGTTACCAGTTTTGTCTCTGGGGCAAGAAAGAGGTAATCTGTCAACATCCTGCCAGTGGTCTTTACCTCCCAGGACATTTCCTGGTACCCATTTTAGGTTGGGTCAACCTGGAGACCCTGGATCATTTTTGTTAAAGCCGCCCCAGTAAAGATTAAACCCAAGACTTTCTGGCCAGCATTCAAATGAGCCAGGGATTTTTGTACAAATGTCCAGGTCCTGTTCAGGGATTCAAACCCTGTCACCTGCTAGCACTGTAACCTCTTAGTAACTTGCTGATTGTGTTTGCTTGCAGTGTGTTATGTTTCAGCCACACAGAAAACGGTGCCTTGAAGGGCTAAATGTGAAATATATGTTGTCTCTGCTGGTTATGGAAACAGTAAGTCAGACTTCATTGATTAGTAGTGCTTGAAGTGTAAAATTTATGTTTGTGAATACACACAGAATCCGCGTCTGTGACTTAGGCGTTGCAAACGCGCTTCCTAATTTCAGGGTGCCAGGTTCGATCCCTGCTGCAGACAGTTTGTCTTGATATGGTTTCGACCGTGGTACCGAGAGCCGACCATCCAGAAAGCAATGGCAAACTACTGGATGTAAATTTGCCTAGAAAAACCACAACAGCCAGAAAGTGCTGGGGTTAGTTCTACAACGTCCTGTAAAGGGCACGCCACTAAATTTTTTTAAAAATACACAGAAATAACATTGTGCTTTCAAACAGAAGTGAAAGATATGTACATACAGACAGGAGAGATGAGCTCACATACAAACCTGAAAGATATCTACATACATACAGATGTACTTACATACAAACCTAAAAGATACATACCTACAGACAGGATAGATGTACTTACAAACAAATCTGAAAAATACTTACCTACAAACAGGAGAAATGTATATACATACAAACCTAAACCTGAACGATACAGGTACGTACAGACAGGAGAGATGTACTTACAAACAACAAACCTGAAAGCTATGTACTTACAGACAGGACCTCCATAATCTTTTTGGCATTACACCGCAACTGCCTCCACATGATCCCTGAACAACAGGCTTCTATTGAAAATGATACCCTGGTACCTCAGTTTGCTTTCTCTTTTGATGTTTCTGTCATTAATTGTGTGGCTTGGAACATTAGTTTTTACAATTCTATTGTCCAGAGAGCACTATGAAACAGCTGCTTTTTATAAGTTGATGACAGCACCCATCTTTGCCTACCAGTCAGTCACTTTGTCTACAGTTTCCTGTAGCTCTATTGTTATCCATTGCTTATTACTTCCCTGCAAGAACACCATCTGCAAATGTCAATATCCTTCCAGCACCTGGTGCTTCAAGTTCTGCAGTATTGCTTGTATACACATTGAAGAGCACTGGTGAAATTGCAGAACCATGGGGTAGTCCTGGGGCTATATTACATGGTTCTGAGGTCCATGTACCCAGGTGAAGAACATGAATGCAGGACAGTTTCTATCACCAGCTACGGACAAACCTCCTTCTTCATGGGTGCAGATATCAAATATTATATCTGACTGTTATGTTATGTTATCACAGTCAACATCTTTGCACACTGGGCATCCCCATGCATGCTCAGTCCTCCAAGGTATCTCTACTGATGGAGTTGGTTATAACTAGGGCTGTACCGAATAGTGATTTTCACTGTTCGGCCGAATAGGAATAGCGGGACCAACTATTCGGCCGAAAACAAATAGTGTATAGTGTATAAAATATATTTTTTTTTTTTAAAAACATTCATATTGTCAAATGTAAGCTGAACTTTTACTTCACATAAAGTAGTACAGAATAGTTATCTTCTTCTTTATCATTCTGAGCCCTTGAGGTTTACTGTTGCAGATATCACTCGTCTCCATTCATCTCTCTGGCTGGCCTTATCTTCACAATTTGTGACACCAGTTGTTTGCAGATCTGACTGGACATTATGTCTCAAACTTCTTTCTTGTCTGCCTCATGGTCTACGCCCATTCCTCTCTCAGGTGTATACAGTTTTTACTTCTCTGTCATCTGACATTCTTTCAATATGCCCCAACCATTTTAGTCTGTTAGCTCTCATGATGCCAGTGATCAATGGTGTTTAAAAAGATTATGTGTTACTTTGTTGCTTCTCACTCCATTCCCCGCTGTTAGCATCTTTGATGGGTCCAAAGATTTGTTGTAAGACTGTTTTTGAAAACCTGTAATAAGGCTTTATCTCTTTTATTTCTGCTTCAAGTTTCAGAGCCATATAAAACGACTGGTCCTATCGACGTTTTATATATTTGGATCTTGGTGTTGCGAAACAGACACTTTGACTTTAGCAGATGTTGAAGGGCATAGTATACTTTATTTCTAGATTGTATTTTAGATTGTATTTCTTCTCTCAGCATGTTGGAGCAGTTGAAGTTTGCACCCCAAGTACTTATATGTTTCCGTTCGTTTGATTTTCATATTATCGACTTGGATGTGGCCGGAGTTTATATTCTTTCCATGTCTAGTTAGTATCGTACAGAATAGAAAACATTTAAAAACATTTTATTTTTTTATCTTTCAGTCAGTCTGTGGTAACTATTAACTAGGAATGAAAGAATCCTAAGTATTATAACAAGTAACTAAACTTGGACATTTTCACTGACAGCTTAGTTAATGCAGGAAAGCTGCATTAGCTTTCAACAAAACCAATGATTCCATGTTGTCAGCATTAAGGCCGTGTATGCAGAAGCAGGTGTAAGGTAACTACTATTCGTATTCGGCCCGACCACAACTATTCGGCCAAATACAGAATATTCAATAGGGCCACTATTCGGGCCCAAAGCGAATACGAAGTGAATATTCGGTACAGCCCTAGTTAAAACATCTCCTGTCTTTACCTCGAAGACGGCATAGTCTTACTTCACTAAGCTTAACTCCTCGGTCACACAGTCGCGTTAGCATCAGAGATACACCATCATCCCCCAACCTAGTCCGTACAGCATTGATGACATCAGGTGTGTCCATGCTTCTTCCCATTTGCATTGGTGCATTATTTGCCAGCTGGTCAGCTCTTTCCTTACCATTTACTCCTGTGTGCCCAGGTGGGTAGATCCCAGAGATAGAGGTCAACTGTGACTTCCAAATGCTTTCTACTCGTTCGGAGTGTAGACTCCCTGTAGTGATTTTCTGAAGCATGTTCTAAGAGTTTGACTCGATTACCGCGTGTCTGTCTCTCTATTAATAATATCTGACTCTAATGTAGACATCCTCAAGATGCATAGAACAGAAACACAACATACACTGCAGTCTGTGAGGGAAGCAAATAGTAGTGACACTAAATAAACATGTTGTAAGAGGCTTGGTTGGAGGCTGGCTACCCTTAGAATCGACCCCCTGGTGCACCCAAAAGCATGTTGTAAGAGTTTACTAAAGCTTCCTGGATGTCGGAGTAAGATTAAGGCTCTGTATTCTTCTTCTTTCGTTCTACTGCTTATGTGGCAAAGCAGTGCAGAAAGGAGTTAGATGTTGATGCAGTCTCCTATCATTTGAAAGTTGTGTAGCTTGTGTAAAGGTCATATTCTGTTTCTGCAGTGTATCTTTCATAACTTGAAGTAGAATGTAAATATTCTGTAAGAGGCTTGGTTGGTGCTAGGTACGTTTAGAAGTCTTGGTGTTAAAATCCAACATCTTGAAGTTTCAATTCTGTCTGGAATAGTTTTATAGCTTGTGTTAAGGTCATATTCTGTTTCTGTAATGTATCTTTTATAGCTTGTGTTAAGGTCATATTCTGTTTCTATCTTTTATAGCTTGTGTTAATGTCATATTCTGTTTCTGTAGTGTATCTTTTACTCCCTCTACCAGTCTCTTTATTAGGTTAGCCTTTTTTTTACCTTGTCGTCCACTGTTCTCATGTTGTATATGCTCTAGCAGCTGGCTGATTTTGTTTCATTGTGACCAGGTGACCAAACCATTTGATTCTTTGATGTTTTGTGAAATCATTTAGCAGGGGTTCTTTATTGGGAGGTGAAAATCAGTTGATTCCTTGATGTTCTATGAAATCATTTAGCAGGGGTTCTTTATTGGGAGGTGAAAATCACTTGATTCCTTGATGTTCTATGAAATCATTTAGCAGGGGTTCTTTATTTGGAGGTGAAAATCACTTGATTCTTAAATGTTCTGTGAAATCATTTAGCAGGGGCTCTTTATTGGGAGGTGAAAATCAGTTGATTCTTTGATGTTCTATGAAATCATTTAGCAGGGGCTCTTTATTGGGAGGTGAAAATCAGTTGATTCTTTGGTGTTCTGTGAAATCATTTAGCAGAGGCTTTTTATTGGGAGGTGAAAATCAGTTGACTCTTTGATGTTCTATGAAATCATTTGCTGGTGGCTTCTGTTGTGTGAGATGCCAGCTCTTACAAAGATCTTATGCTCTGTTGTGTGAGATGCCAGCTCTTATAAAGATCTTATACTCTGTTGTGTGAGATGCCAGCTCTTATAAAGATCTTATACTCTGTTGTGTGAGATGCCAGCTCTTATAAAGATCTTATACTCTGGTGTGTGAGATGCCAACTCTTATAAAGATCTCATACTCTGTTGTGTGAGATGCCAGCTCTTATAAAGATCTTATACTCTGTTGTGTGAGATGCCAGCTCTTATAAAGACCTCATACTCTGCTGTGTGAGATGTCAGCTCTTATAAAGATCTCATACTCTGTTGTGTGAGATGTCAGCTCTTATAAAGATCTCATACTCTGTTGTGTGAGATGCCAGCTCTTATAAAGATCTTATACTCTGTTGTGTGAGATGCCAGCTCTTATAAAGATCTTTTACTGTTGTGTGAGATGCCAGCTCTTATAAAGATCTTATACTCTGTTGTGTGAGATGCCAGCTCTTATAAAGATCTTATACTCTGTTGTGTGAGATGCCAGCTCTTATAAAGATCTTATACTCTGTTGTGTGAGATGCCAACTCATATAAAGATCTTATACTCTGTTGTGTGAGATGCCAGCTCTTATTAAGATCTTAAACTCTGCTGTGTGAGATGCCAGCTCTCACAAGGACCTCATACTCTGCTGTTTTCTTGTGTCAAGGAATAATGGCTTCATTTTGTAAAAACAGGAAGCTACGACCGGCCTGAGCGAGAGCACAGGGAACCTCCAAAAAGAGGAAACACGCTGTATGTCCATGGGCTGGGGATCAACGAGGACATGCTGCAGAAGTCCTTCTCTAATTTTGGCAAAATTGTCAACATTAACATGGAGACGGACAAAAAGTATGTACTATGGATACTTTATTCGTGTTCTTGCTGTCTGCAGTTAGTTAAATTATAATGTGAGTAGACTGATATATGGATTGATGACTGAATGGATATTCAGATAGTTGATTCATGGATTGATGACTGAATGGGTGTTCAGATAGTTGGTACATGGATTGATGACTGAATGGATATTCATATAGTTGCTTCATGGATTGATGACTGTATGGATATTCAGAAAGTTGCTTCATGGATTGATGACTGAATGGATATTCAGATAGTTAATTCATGGATTGATGACTGAATGGGTATTCAGATAGTTGGTACATGGATTGATGACTCAATGGGTATTCAGATAATTGGTACATGGATTGATGACTGAATGGGTATTCAAGTTGTTGGTTAGGTGAATAGCTATATTGTTATGAAGAAATAGAATTACATTCCCCAGTTTTATATAAGTGGTCCGCCCTAGTGTTATGTTGCTTCTTCTTATTCTTCTTGTACACCACTTGTTAACTCTGATGGAAAGTTCTGGTTGTTCGACCACCTCCAGACTTTAGTCTTGTTCCAGAATATGAGGGTTGAACACACATTATTTTTACAGATGTGGCTTATTCGTTTGCTGACTTTTGGTTCCCTGCCTCTTGGCGGACCCACTCCGACTTCGGAGGATGTCCCCATTTAGTCGACTTCTGTGACATTTTTGTTGGGGAGGCAGTTGATCTGTTCTTGTTTTTCCCACAATGGGGCCCCGGAACCCACACAGGGAGGTCCTATTCAGAATTGTTTTCTTCAATCAATCCCCCCCCCCCCCCCCCCCTTTATTGTCTTAATTTCTGTCACCACATATTCTTATTTTTTTGTTCACTGAAAAACATCTTTGGTCCAAACATTTGCTTGTTGTTTTTGTATATTTTCTTTCAGTGAACTTCCTGGGTGCATTGTACGTTCATTCATCTTTTATTATTTTTTTTCATTTTCATTTACATTCCTGACTATCCTTGTACACAACTTTGTGTGATCATTCATCACGTTGAAAGAAAGAATGGACAAAGATACTAGATTCCAATTACAAATGGATCTTCTGGAATATTTTCTTTGGAGATGGTATCAAGCCTAGAGTACGCACTCGGTGGCTCCGGCTGCGAATGATTATTGACAACTCCCGCCCAGGTGATATGATTATCTATACAGATGGCTCTGTGTTGAGGGGCAGACGAAGTGCTTTCGGTTTTATATCAAAGGCGATGGACGTCACCTAGTGTAGCAAAGCCTTGCATATGATATCACAACGTTTAGTTTGAGAATGGAGGTGGAGGCAGTTTGTGCTGCCTTTCGCTGGCTTGAGAATCAGCTGTTCACACATGCTGTGATTATAACTGACTCACAGAGCATGATGAGAAAGCTGAAAACATGCATGCTTCGTGCAGAGTGGTCCTGGGTAGTTAGCATCCTTTGAATATTTTTTCCAGGTCATGCCGGGGTGTTCGGAAATGAGCTGGCAGATAGACTAGCTGGCTCTACACCACTTGATGGTGAATTGATTTATGACGTTAGATATTGTGAGGGCCCTTTGGGCGCGAGTGAACAGTGCGGAGGCGCAGATAGATCATTACAGTCCAAGGAGAATGGCTCTGCGAAGAGTTACCAGGGGATCTGGTCCACGCTCAACACTGAGGGGAAGGATACGGATATACAGTCAGACGGTTACTGGTACTATTGGAATTGGAACTCTTCACTGCTGCTAAAGATGGGGACTGAGCACTTACGGAAGTGTCCCGAGTGCTGTGATGTCAATTCTTAATTCAACATTGGGGGGGGGGGGATTTTTTAATGCATATTTTTGATTCGGCATCCTTTTGTGTTTTATATTTCAGCACTGCATTTATTACATTTGAAAATATGGATGCAGCCGAACAAGCAATTGCAGAAGTGAGTTTTACAGCATCATTATTTGTTGTTAAAGAATTAGTTATTGATATACGGATGTGAGTCGTTGACCATCTCCTAGTCCTTAAGAAAGAGAATAGGGGCTTTTGAGCTGAAATGCTATAGAAAGATTCTCGGGATATCTTGGACAAAGAAGATGAGAAATACTGACATCTTGAAAGATCTGATCATCAAGGAAGACTGGCTAATAAACAGCATCCTGTCTCGGAAGCTGAAATATTTTGGTCATATCAAGTGCCACAACGGATTGGAGAAAATAATAGCAGAAGGTATGGTACCAGAAAGGAGGGGCAGGGGCCAAGGATATAAGTGACTCCTTGAGTATGAAAGTACATGATGCGGAAAAGTTGGTGAGAGACCGAGTTTCTATCAGGCAGGCCGTGATGAGAGCGACGTTCTGCAAATAAACCTGCTACTTGATGATGAGTTATTGATAGGCCTCCAGTAGTATCAATAGGAAGAAAGAAGCAGGATTTAAACCTAGCGTTAGAGCATACATATATTATACAGGCATCTATATTAAAATTTTTTGGAACATTTACTGAAGATGGTAAATTAGACGAAGAAATTGAAATTCGATGCAGTAAAGCTGGCTAAATATTGGTACAGCTAGCCCCCCCCCCCCCCCCCCCCCTCTACAGCATTAGGCAATCCTAATCAGCACAAAGAGACATCTCATACAAAGCATATTCATTCCCACCCTATACTACCAGTGCCAGATGTGGTCACTCACAACAAAACATAAAATAAAATTAGTAACCATGGGAATGAGGTGTCTGAGAAAGACTGTAGGAGTGACCAGAAGAGATAAAATCAGGAATTAGGTCATACGAGATAAAGCCAGCACAGAACCAATTCTAAATTACATAGAAAGACAAGAAATCAAATGGTTTGCCCACTTGGAGAGAATGCCTTCTGATGCTATACCATTCAAGGCACATACCAAAAGAGGAGAGGGACGTAGAGCAAGAGGTAGACCAAGAACAAAATGGAAGGATAACATCAGAGAAATTCTTCACTACCACGATGTGTCTTTTGATCGAAGCAGCCAGAAAAGCATGAAGGAGGACCTTATTTCTCCCTTGACACCAGAAGCAATAAAAGAGGACATAAAGAAGAAGAAGTAATGTTGGCTAAAAATGTTTGGTTTACTCATCAGTTCTCATTACCATAGTGTGGGCACTTTTTAATCTTTGAGGACAATAGTTCTATACTGTGCTTTGGGAAGGCATGTGAGTCCCAATCCATTGTGAGCATTATCATCAAGTGCCTTGTTGACTGGCTGGGGGAAATCGGCCTGTCCATAATTTGCCATCTGCATGTATAAGCATGTATGTTGATACCCCTTGGTACTTAATTTATAACTTACCCCTGACGTCACGACAACGTCACGGGAGACATTCCTAATAAATTCTAGGGTGTTCAGGTTGTAGTTTCTCGCGATTTCTCTACAGTAAAGTCGAAGGGTTAGGGTCCAGGAAGTAGAAGACACTAGATGAACACTCTTTCAAAAACAAGCACCAAAGGACAATACACTATGCACCCCTTTTGGGAATGGCACTGTCAGGTCAGCTGTGGATTTATCCACGGCCTTGTTTCCTGTTTGGGGGTACATTATAAATAAGAACCACACCCCTTCATGTATTAGACACAGGGCTATCACACCCCTTGGTTACTTAATTTATGGTTATTTCACCCCTGACCCCCCCCGTCCCCTCCCCCCTCCCCAATATATACGACCCCACGGGAATTCTGGTAAAAATTTTGAATAAAATTTTTACATAGATTACTAGATTTCTAGTAAAACATGTCTTAATCTATATATTTAAAAAAAAAAATTAATAAATAAAGATATCTGATGGGAGTAATCAGCAAACATGAACATTGTAAAGCATCAAATGGAATACAATCCTCTGGGCCTTTTTAAAAAAAAAAAAGTACATGTCGGGCGACTAATGCCAGGACCTCTATCACTGAGGCTTATCGAAAAATATGATGTCAACATGGCTTTAAACAAAGCTGTTCAGCTCAGAGCAGACACACACGCACACACACACACACACCCCCTGCTATTTTTAGTTAAAGTATTCCTATCTTGACCAGCTAAACATGTGCGCAGGCACAAAAACAGCCAATTGCTGTCCCTGTGTGGGTTCCGGGGCCCCATTGTGGGGAGAACAAGAATAGACCCACTGCCTCCCCAAAAGCATGTCGTAAAAGTGGACTAATTGGGGAGCTTCCTTTGAAGTCGGAGTGCATCTGCCGGAGAGGCAAGGAACCAACAGTCTGTATTCAAGAGAATGATATCTGTAAAACTGATGCACACGCAACACTCAGGTTCTGGAGCAGGACTGCAGTCCAGAAGTGGACGAACAACCAGAACTTTCCGCCGGAGTTTACAGCTGGTGAACGCAAAGAAGAAGACAAAAGAAGAAGAAGCCAATAGCATTTATTATGTGTCTTATAAACAGATAACTGTAGATCCCCGTGTGGGTTTCGGGGCCCCATTGTGGGGAGAACAAGAATAGACCCACTGCCTCCCCAAAAGCATGTCGTAAAAGTCGACTAATTGGGGAGCTTCCTTTGAAGTCGGAGTGCATCTGCCGGAGAGGCAAGGAACCAACAGTCTGTATTCAAGAGAATGATATCTGTAAAACTGATGCACACGCAACACTCAGGTTCTGGAGCAGGACTGCAGTCCAGAAGTGGACGAACAACCAAAACTTTCCGCCGGAGTTTACAGCTGGTGAACGCAAAGAAGAAGACAAAAGAAGAAGAAGCCAATAGCATTTATTATGTGTCTTATAAACAGATAACTGTAGATCCCCGTGTGGGTTTCGGGCGCCCATTGTGGGGAGAACAAGAATAGACCCACTGCCTCCCCAAAAGCATGTCGTAAAAGTCGACTAATTGGGGAGCTTCCTTTGAAGTCGGAGTGCATCTGCCGGAGAGGCAAGGAACCAACAGTCTGTATTCAAGAGAATGATATCTGTAAAACTGATGCACACGCAACACTCAGGTTCTGGAGCAGGACTGCAGTTCAGTAGTGGACGAGCAACCAGAACTTTCCGCCAGAGTGTACAGGTGGTGAACGCGAAGAAGAAGAAGAAGAAAACTGTAGACAAATCAGTAGAGTGACATTTACTGAGAAATTGACCTAACTGGAAGTGTCAGTTTTCAGGCTTCTCGAGATGAAAGAGTTAATGTGCTTTTTCTCAGTTGTTCAGCTTTTAACCTGTTTGCAATCACTTTCTTCTTTGTCCCTATTCCCTTCCTGACTTTCTCTCTCCCTCCAATGCAGTCAGTCTCATCGTGTTCCCACCAATCCATCTCTGCACATGTCCCGCTTGCAACATCTTGATATTGTATTATACAGACTGTTCTAACCATACCCATGTAAACAGTTCATTAACTATCCATGGACATTTACATTGGTATTGTTATTATAGCTTTCTGCCTGCTGTCTTCCATTTCTTTTTCTTCTTCACATTCACCAGCTGTCAGCTGTGGCGGAAAGTTCTGGTTGTTCATCCACTTTTGGACTTTAGTGTTATTCCAGAACCTTTAGTTTTTTTGTGCACATCTGTTTTTACAGATATGACTTATTTGTATACAGGCTGTTGGTTCCTCACGTCTCAGGTTGGTGCGCTCTGACTTTCAAAAAAAAAAAAAAAAACCCTAATTAGTTTACTCTTATGACATGCTTGTCAGGGGTCAATGGGTTGGTTCTGTTTTCCCCCACAGTGAGGCCTCAGAACCCATGTAAACGATTTATTCAAACTGTCACTACTGTCTGTTTTACTATCTTTCTATGATGGTGTAGACAGGAGCTTTGTGAGCCTAAGGATTAAGAGCGGCATGGCTAGTGCTGTCGCCACGGACTGTGCAGTTTAGGATGTGTAATTTTGCCCTGAACAGAAATACTCCATCACCTTACTGAGGTTCACACCTGGGTCTTCCGTTTGAGAGCCTGATGCTGTAACCACACAGCCAGCCGCTCTTCATATAATTCAATAACTACTTATTTACATTGGTATTGTTATTATGTGTATATGAAAATATTTATAGCCATGTGACTGTTGTCTCTCATTTGATTAAAACCTGTTTTGATGTGTTTGATTTAACTGTTTCTACATTTACAACTTGTCTGTTGACGGAGAGCCATGTGATTTCCGTGACGGAGAGCCATGTGACCTCTGTGACGGAGTGCCATGTGACTTCCATGATGGAGAGCCATGTGACCTCTGTGACGGAGTGCCATGTGACTTCCATGATGGAGAGCCATGTGACCTCTGTGACGGAGTGCCATGTGACTTCCATGATGGAGAGCCATGTGACCTCTGTGACGGAGTGCCATGTGACTTCCATGATGGAGAGCCATGTGACCTCTGTGACAGAGTGCCATGTGACTTCCATGATTGAGAGCCATGTGACTTCCACCTTCCCCTTGGATTAATTTCCTGTTCTAATATGCTTGTCCCAGGTTAACGGAAGTATGGTGAACAACACACAGCTCAGTGTGCAGATGGCAAGACGTCAGCCAATGCTTGACAATTTAGGCGAGAACTCTTCTTCAGTGCCGTGGGCCAGTATCGGTAGGTGTCATTCATATATGTACACATGCACGCACGCACACTAATGCACACATAAGGATACACAGGAAGTAGATTACCAGATTACAGGAAGTAGAATAGCTGGGCACACTAGACAGCATCAAAAACAAGTAAATTTACTGACCCTACCAAGTTTGGGAGCTGCTGTCTCCAAATGGCAACATAAAATCGTCCCGCCGAAGGCACAGGTTTACTTTGATAGGCAACTAACTGGACCTGCTATGAGGGTGTTTACCTTGACTACTTCTGTTGACACAGGTATATTTTTCTGCTTTAAATGGCAAAATTCAGCGTCTCGCTGCTGGTTGTGGAGAAAGCGTGCTAATGCCCCATGCGCTTCTTCAGTCTGTGAACAGGAAGTAGATTACCAAGACTTACAGGAAGTAGAATGCTGGGCACACTAGACAGCATCAAAACAAGTAAATTACTGACCCTACCAAGTTTGGGAGCTTGCTGTCTCCAAATGGCAACATAAAATCGTTCCCGCCGAAGCGTAACTGTGATTCATAAACAGTCTGTGAAAACATTGTTTCTCTCTCATAGCGTAACTGTGAACAAAAAATCAGGTCAAGACGAATGCTAGGTAAAGCGCTCCAAAAGTTCAAATGAAGTGTTTGGACGAAACATCCCGCCACCGCAAGACTTACAACGGCCGATATAGAGCGATTGCAAGCCGGTGAACAAGAAGAAGAAAGAAAAGAATTTAATAGTGCTCTTGACAGAGACCATTAACGAACATTACATCTCCCCTACACTTCGATGAGGTACAAGGTGGAAGAGAAGAAGAAGAAGAAGAAATAATACCAAAAACATTTGCTTTGGCCAAGCATGGGTCATATAGCAAACAACAAAAGGAGTGTACTGTTGTGCCTAGTATACAACAAACATTAGGTCATATAGCAAAACACAAAAAGGATTAGGTCATATAGCAAAACATATAGCAAACAACAAAAGGAGTGTACTGTGTTAGTATACAACAAACTAGTATACAAACAAACAGTTAGGTGCCTAGTATACAACAAACATTAGGTCATATAGCAAACAACAAAAGGAGTGTACTGTTGTGCCTAGTATACAACAAACATTAGGTCATATAGCAAACAACAAAAGGAGTGTACTGTTGTGCCTAGTATACAACATTTGTTTTTAAAATGTCATTATTGGAAGAAATATTTTGAAAATACCCTACCTAATACTCTCTATTTTTAAGAGGGTTATATCTTTTTTTTTTTTTTTTGTTTGGTGGTTAAAATGTTGACTTTGTTTTTTCCTCTGCCACTTTTTTCATTGCCACTCTCTTGAGAACCTCTATATCTGATTGTTTTTGTTTCTAGAAAATACAAGTCTAGCATTGAACAGCATTTAAAGAAGAGATACGATTTGTTGGTACCACGTAGAAATACTACAGTTTATTATCTGATGCATTTCTGCTTGTGCATTTGACATTAGCCATGCTAAACATTCAGTCCCCCAGGATCCTTGCCAGTGCTACGGAACTACGTGCATTGTAATGAGAACCTTCTTTGTTAACGTTGTGTGTTAAATTGTGTTAGGTAACATCAACCAGAACTGAATGGGAGTTGTTAGCCTAAAAACAGTTGGAAACATACTGAGGAGGAGATCGGAGCACTTATGGTCATGTCTGATGTGCAATAAGGATGATCTTTCAATGTACAATGAAGAATCAGTCCAGTCTGGGTCACAATCAGGGCGGTGCATCTTTAGTTATTGCTGGTCTCCCACAGCTTATCTTATAATGTAGTTACAATCAGCCAGATCGTTGGCCTCTGCCAGGAGTAGTATAGGGCAATCTTGCAATACATGCTCAAGAAACTGGGGAGGGGGGGGGGGTGAAAGACCTGTAGATTAGCCGATTCTGCCTTAGTTACATATTGATGGCCTATAGATCGCACCAAAATTGTTAATGCTTTTAGAGAGAGATAGGACGCTCTGAGAATTTTGGAGCAGCTTGCCCATATCACTGCTAAGAATACGAGAATTGGGAGTCAAGATCGGCACAGCCAGGCATGAGAGGCGCACTGTTAATGAGCATAGGACTGGCACTGTTAACCAAGGCGACGATGATGTGTATGTTGAAGGGAGAATCTGAGCACCTACGGATTTGTCCGAAGTGTCGTGAAGATAACCCAACTCTCAAATCTTGCGCAAAAGTCTCATCTTTCTGTTGGACATTCACAGGTGGTAAATTTTGTCATACCTGTTTTGTGTAAGTATGCTCTAAAACTGCAGTGTCCTGTCAGGTGATATGTTGAAATGTATGCAGACATTTAAAGATTAATAGGTCAGTCTACAAAGGCTCAGGTGGCTGGGTCACACCTGGAAAATGGAGGATGGCAGAATCCCTAAGGATATCCTTTATGATGAATTAAAGACAGGAAGAAGATGTCGAGGCCGACCTCTACTACGATATAAAGATGTGTGCATGCAGGACATGAATGATACATGTATTGAGGCGGACTCATGGGAACAAAATGCCATTTACCGTTTTGTGTGGAAAGGGCATATCAGGAAGGGAATGAGACTGAAAGAAGAAATGATTGCAGAAAGGATGAGAGCCGAGCATCTGAAAAGAAATGGATTAAACACAAATGTTCTTAACAATGGTCCTGAAATCTCATGCTATCGTTGTGGAAGACTTTTCTTGACATGGGCAGGTCTTGCTAGTCACACTCGCCATCACCATGGGCTGTGAGTCTCATGCCTCCTCATAGCGCAGTATAACACTATCGTCTGGAAAGACGGAAAGGTGACAGTGTATGTAACAATACACAAAAACTGTGTTGGTAAGATTGTGTTTTGCTGTTTATTTTCAGCTGCCAACAATTCACAGAAAGGTTCTGCTCACCAAAGAAGGAGAGATGTAGTGTCGTATGAAGATATTTAAATGACATGCGAAATAAAGAGATTTGTTTTTTTTTCTTAAACTTATTCTAACATAGTTCTTTCAAAAAGGTTTTTACTTAATTGTGCTGTTTACTGTACAGCATGGAATCTCAAAACATCTTTGCTAGAAATTGTTTAGTCATTGTTCTGTTGAGAATGACATCAAAACTTGTTGAAAAAGTATATTTTGGTTTTCTGGAAGGCATCAGAACATGTGAAAGTATATTTTTTTTTTTCTTAAATACATCGAGTCCACTTAAGTTGAACTCAGATAAGTCGAATTTCAGTTAAGTCGACATGACCAGCTTAGTCCTGACAATTTGCTCGCTTGTGTGTGCTGTCTGGATAAGTAAAAGTCCTGATAAGTGGAAGCATTTTCTTAGGTTCCTGCGGCTTCTACTTATCCAGACTCGACTGTAATCATATTAGTGTTCAATTAGCAAATATAATGACATACTTCAGACTTCTTCTTCTTTCGTTCGCCACATACTTCAGTGTGATGTTTATTGTTCAAGAAATATCATCATCATCACAGAAAACAACAAATTTTTGTTTGTTTGTTAGTTATTCCCAGTTTTAACTTCACAGCAAATGGTTACCCCATAACGTCTTTTGTAATCAAATAAATTAAGGCAGCTTGCAGACTCTGCAAAGTCAGTAGTAGAATGCACACATATTTAATGCATGAGGCAGCCATCTGAAGTGCCATCGTACACAGTCCATAGTTATTTATATTTGCAGTTCATCGTCAGTAGAAGCAGCAGTTGTAACAGGTCGGTAGTTGCACATGCAATATCGCATAAGGCACCACAAGTTCTGTGGCAACAGGTCACTGGCCATTTTCTGAATCTGCAGTTTACAAAACAGACTACATTGGGCACAGGTGAAAACCATTCCAGAAGAAATCTTAGCTCATAATATCACACAGGTACTCAAAGGTTAGTTGCGTATCCTTTACAGGACGTTGCAGAACCAACCCTAACAGCTCCTGGCTGTTGTGGGGTTTCTCTAGGCAAATTTACGTCCAGTAGTTTGCCATTGCTTCCTGGACGGTCGGCTTTCTTGATACCACTGTCGAAACCAACGCAAGGCACGTGGCCTGCAGCTGGGATCGAACCTGGCATTACAAAGCGTTTGCATCAACTTAGCCACAGAGCCGACACAGGTACTGAGATGTGTCAAAAATTGACATCACAGCACTCGGAGCATTCTCATGTGCACTCCGTCCTCATCTTCAGCAGCTATTGCAGAGTTATTAAGTCACCGCAATCGTTATTGTGATAAGCCTATTGTTTAGCACTGATGATATCACTCCTAACCAGTGAAATAGTAGTTCATAATAGCTGCATAATCCGCTAGATAATCAGCATGCTCATCAGCTAAAACTTTCTCTGGCCTGGCACAAAAATAAAGGTTAGACTAGCCATGAGCGATGCACAAAAATGAAACAAACTGTTCTTGTTTGATGAATCTGGACTGAGATGGAATATGTGCCAGTTAGTTGAGAATCTCTCTGTTCTCTCCACAGTCGTCATCAAGTTGAATTGAGTTGAATCAAGAATTGACATCACAGCACTCGGGGCATTCACATGCGTGCTTTGTTCTCATCTTCAGCAGCTAGCGCAGAGTTCCAATACTGATGATACCGTCACAGTCTGGTTATATGTGCGTCTTGCCTTTCCTCTGAATGTAGTCAGCCGGCCAGACCCTCTGGTTACACCCAGGTGCCTCATTTACTCCAGGCCTTAATAATCTTGTTTTTCTACTGATTCCGTTGCTTGTTTCCAAAGAGCCTTGACTACATCTGCCTTGTCATGTATCAATTCACCACCCAGTGGTGCAGACTCCGCCAGTCTGCTGCCTGTTCATTACCCACTATGCTGGTATGGCCTGGAGAAAAGATCCAAAGTGTGCTCACTACCCGTGACTTTCCCAGTGAAGCTTGCCATTCTACTTGAAGCATCCCTGTCCTTACCTTTCTCAGCATGCTTTCAGAGTATGTTGAAATTACAATATGTTTATGCATCTTGTTCTCTAGCCACTGAAATGCTGCGGTGACTGCCTCCATTCTCATACTAGATGTTGTGGTATTGTATATTAGGCTGTCCGGCACTAAAGATTTTCCATTGGCTTTCGCTACGAACCCCCAGGCACTTCTCCTCCCTCTCAACACAGAATCATCTGTATAGATAATCAGATCATCTGGGTGAGATTTGTCAAGAATCAGCTGTTGGATTTCCACCTCATTAGCTCCCACTGGCCACTCTCTGCACTCCCTGCCCAATGTAATCATGACCCTACATAAGTGAGACTTTTTCTCTGGTGCTTTGACTCACTCCTCACCTCGCCCAGTGTTCTCCAGCATGCAGACTTGTCGTATTGTGTCTTCTATATGAGCCACCCACATTTTCCCCCTTTTCAGCCTCCAACCCTTAACTGCAGCCAAAGCTTCATAGAGAGGGTGCTCTTTGTCTGCAGCTGCTTTGATGTATGCCATAGCCTGCAGCACCTGTATCCTATCTAGAATAGTCGGCAATACAGGATGTATCGCATTCACTCAATCGGGATGTCTCTTGTGCATCTCAGGATCATTCAAGACTCAGTTCAGTAACTGGAAATGGAACCATATACTTAAAAGTCCACATATGGGGGAAAATGAAGCAGCCAACCATGACCAGAAGCTTATAACTTGTCAGGACTAAAACAGGCAGCCTGCCTTTTTACCATATTGGACCAGAAGTTCTAATAGTTGTGTTAGAACTCATTATAACTTGTAAAATAACTAACTATTTTTCTGGAACAGTCTTCTATTGAAGCTCTAGGAAGCAATGTTGTTTATTCTTTGTGAAGCTCACAAGAAGGCCATCATCGCTAGAAAGTGTATCATTATTGTGATTTGGAGCCCTTTATAACTTGTGAGTGGTTTCCAGAGGGCGAAGGAGTCAAGCTTTTGCCTTGTGCTCTGGAATCAGTCAATCACTATGTCCTTTACAGAAAGTCGCTGTCGTCACAGTACGACTGAAAGTCTCTCTTTCTGTAGCTAGTTCTTCATGCTTTCATAGCCAAGCTAGTGCATCTTTGATGTCATCTATCCACACTCATGCAGGTCGGCCTCTACATCATTTTCTGGAAAGAACCCTCCATCGTCGTTCTCTCCAGACCACCATGGCGCTTGACTTGTTACAACCAAAAGTAAAATATTATAGAAAACCTAATACTGAGGGAGAATTGTTACAACCACAAGTGAAATATTATAGAAAACCTGATACTGAGGGAGAATTGTTACAACTAGAAGTAAAATATTATAGAAAACCTGATACTGAGGGAGAATTGTTACAACCATAAGTGAAATATTACAGAAAACCTAATACTGAGGGAGAATTGTTACAACCATAAGTAAAATATTATAGAAAACCTGATACTGAGGGAGAATTGTTACAACCACAAGTAAAATATTACAGTTACAACCTTGATTATCTTACTGAGTTTCAACAATAGGAAAACCTAATACTGAGGGAGTATTGTTACAACCATAAGTAAAATATTATCTAATATGAGGGGAGAATTCCATAAGTAAATATTATAGCCTAATACTGAGGGAGAATTGTTACAACCATAAGTAAAATATTATACCTAATACTGAGGGAGAATTGTTACAACCACAAGTGAAATATTATAGAAAACCTAATACTGAGGGAGAATTGTTACAACCATAAGTAAAATATTATAGAAAACCTAATACTGAGGGAGAATTGTTACAACCATAAGTAAAATATTATAGAAAACCTAATACTGAGGGAGAATTGTTACAACCATAAGTAAAATATTATAGAAAACCTAATACTGAGGGAGAATTGTTACAACTAGAAGTAAAATATTATAGAAAACCTAATACTGAGGGAGAATTGTTACAACCATAAGTAAAATATTATAGAAAACCTAATACTGAGGGAGAATTGTTACAACCATAAGTAAAATATTATAGAAAACCTAATACTGAGGGAGAATTGTTACAACCATAAGTAAAATATTATAGAAAACCTAATACTGAGGGAGAATTGTTACAACCATAAGTGAAATATTATAGAAAACCTGATACTGAGGGAGAATTGTTACAACTAGAAGTAAAATATTATAGAAAACCTAATACTGAGGGAGAATTGTTACAACCACAAGTAAAATATTATAGAAAACCTGATACTGAGGAAGAATTGTTACAACCACAAGTAAAATATTACAGAAAACTTAACTCTTTGAGTCCAAAGGAACGTATCATACGTTCATAGATTCCAATCTAGAGGCCCAATCAACGCAAGATGCGCCGATTTTACATCTTTCTTGACTACCACACGGGCCTCTGATGCTAAAGTCCCTAGACTCAAAGAGTTAATACTGAGGGAGAATTTTTACAAGAACAAGTAAAATCTTACAATAACTTGGGGGAGAAGTGTTACAGCTACAGGAAAAATATTATAGTAAACTTGAGGGGGAAGTGTTACAGCCACAGGCAGAATATTACAGTAAACTTGAGGGAGAAATGTTACAGCCACAGGCAGAATATTACAGTACACCTGAGGGAGAAGTGTTACAGCCACAGGCAGAATATTACAGTAAACTTGAGGGAGAAGTGTTACAGCCACAGGCAGAATATTACAGTACACCTGAGGGAGAAGTGTTACAGCCACAGACAGAATATTACAGTAAACTTAGTACTGAGGGAGAATTGCTGCAGTAAATTTTAATACTAAAGGAAAATTCTTACAACCACAAGTAAAATTTTACAGTAAACTTGAGGGAGAAGTGTTATAACCACAAGTAAAATATTAAAGTAAACTTAGTAATTACAAAGAATTGTTACAATAAAAAGTAAAACGCAACAGTAACTTGATACTGAGAAAGAATTGTTCCAACAATAGCCTTAAGTCAAATAATGTTACTGTTGTAATTTGCATTTCGTTGTGACTCTCTACAAGAGTAAATAACATTAAATAAGGTAATTCC